TGGTACAACAGGCCAGAAGTGGCCACAGTACAAGGGACTTAGTCCCACCCCACTAGCAATAAAAAAATTGACCCAGTTCTCCTAAGCAACCTGATTCACCTCAAGAGGAGAAACCAATTTTTACACCCATATAAAACAACAGATAATATTATTGCTCTGTGTGCTTCAATCTTTATGTTTTCGGATAGAAGACAAAGGCTTTAGAGCTGCATAGCATAAAACATTCCGGAAATTTAAGCTGCTCTTAATATTTTTTGAAATTAATTTTGATTTGTTACCCACTTCTCCAAATAACTTATTTCAAGTTCTCCCTATGTTCTTACATTTATTACATGAGAAGCATTATCTTCTGAGATGTAACGCCGTGCAGTCAGATAGAAGTTCGCTGACGTTTCGGAGGCACATACTGCCATCATCTTCAGGGTACAATTTCGCCGACTGCTTCTTACTGATCATATGCTTGGCCTACTCTTCGACCCTGAAGATGGAAGCAGTATGTTCTTCCAAAATTCCTATAAATTTCTCCCAAACTAGACGTAGTTACAACCCAGAAGATAGTACTTTTCAGTTACTACTGTGAGAACCTTAAATCCAAGTATTTATTTTCAGTACAAGCAGGGGCAGTGAAATGTATTAGTGTATCTGCGAGTGAGGAGGTTCAATGAAAGAGGACGTCTGCGAAAGCATTTGATAACGTGATCAGCTCGTCGCAAGGCCTCTACCTAAACACAGAACAACATAATCACAGAACAAACACATACACATTCGAAATATATGTGCATTGTGTGGGATTCGAACCCACGATCCCGGTTTCCCAGCAAGCGAAGACAGTATATATTTATGTGCACTGTGTGTGTTCTATTTAAGCGATTCTTAATGCAGGGCACGAAGTGAAGACGAAATTGTAGCAATTTTTCAGAAACAGAAACGTGAGGAGAAAGAAAATGAAATGGAAGATCAGGTTAAGAAACAAAATTAACGAGACTGCACAGAGTAGGCGTTTCAAGCTTTACTTTCAGCAACAGAGAGACTGTTTTCTCCAATCGTTAACTTTTTATGAACGATAGCGTGATTTAGCAGTAACAGTCGTCAGTTTTAGAAAAAAAGAGTAGAATTCCGAAGAACGTGTAAACTTGGAGACGTCACCTGAAAGTTTCCATTGCATTACTCCTTCCTATTGCCAATACTACATGTGAGAAAGACAGGCTTCATTCCATTTGGAAGGAAGACTTGCAAAATAAAAATCTGCGCACTGTATTCACACAACAGCGGCGTCACGCTTTTCATATTGCTAGGATATGCAGTCAACAAACAGACCGGGTGAGATCTCGGTCTGGAGGCTTCATATTCTGACATTCGTCAGTTTCTTTCGGGCGAATTTACGGTTAATACTTCAAAATATGTTACGGCAGTTTGACTAGATCCCCATCACAATTAATACCTTACAAACAGATTAATATAATTTCATTTCACGCCCTTTCATAATTCGTAATATTTTAAAATAGGTTATGGCAGTCTGATTTCATGCTCTTCATAATTAATAGTTTAAAACAGATTACGACAAGGGTCTCTGACTTGAGGATGACTGCGCTGGCGAGGACCAGCAGCAATTGTAAACGATAGACCCGTCTTGTCGCCAGAGAGAAAGTTACATAAGGACTATAACCACAAGTTTTCAGTTGGAAAATAAAATTACTGTGTCGTGAGTCTCAAGGGGCTTGTTACCAAGACGAACTAATTGGCGGGAAACTGCCAGACGTCAGGTAACTCTGACTTTGAGTCAGAGATCAGACCGTATCAGGACTGAGCAAGTTCAGCGTAAGATTTATTGTGAGTTATTGTAACTTACTGTGATTACGAGTTATTGTACAAGAAAGTGATGAATAAATCCAATTACCAATCCAGACCCCGTCTTATAAGTCACACATACATGTGACAATACATCTAAATGCTTTCCCTCACATACGTCTCCATTCATGGTCCGTAAGTTACATTTGAGTTTGCACAGTCATCCTACAACCCGTCTTCTCCGTTAGCCTGAAAGTAGACGTGTGGGACAAATAAGATCACGGAAGCAAGCGATTAGTACATCCTGTAATACGGCATCGTGTTGTCTACTTATGTCTGTGCAGTACTCTCTGACTGCTAACACAACATGGGCCCTAGAAGGTGAGTAGATGCCAATAAATATATCGTTATTAGTACAACCTACATCGCCGTGGTCTAATGGTAAGAGTTTCTGGTTACAGATCCAGAGGTCCGGGTTCGATTCCCGGAGTTACCAGATTTTCTGAGAATTAGTGGGTGTGGAACGGGGTCCACTCAGCCTCGTGAGGATAATTGAGGAGCTATTTCAAGTAAATATCGGCTCCGGTCTAGAAAACCGAAATTAACGGCCTTGGGGATTCGTTGCGCTGACCACGCGACACCCTCTATCCGCTAAAGTTAGCACTAACTTCGCCGACAAGCCGCGGTCGCTCGGTTGGTATAGTTAGCTGCGGACTAAAACCCCGGAGTTCTTTTTACAACGCCGTATAAGATGAACAGAATAGTTTAACCTACACATCTCACAGTATGGTTAGAGAGAACGCTGTTCATTTCTACAACGAAGGTGGGAAAGCAACGTAACACGAAGTTTCCATCTTCTCTTTAGCGCACTCAGGCAGGACAGTCCGAAGCTCCTCCCGTCAAATCGGCTCGATCCATAATGCGTGTAAGTTCCCTTCACGGCTGCATTGTCTAACACACTCAGGGACTTAACATACGTATATGCGAATTCCTGTCACCTGTGCTACTCGCATTAAGCTACAGCTCTCATGAAGTACACATCCAGACCTAACTTACTCCAGGTTAAGTACGAAGTGAATATAATGCCAAGCGTAGGTGTGTGACTTACAGACGGGGTTTTGGATCAGATGATTGGATTTATTGCACCTTATACATTCCCTCAGTTCGGGACCACAGGTAAGACAGCGCTATCGCTATTGTATACACTTCCCAATTCACCGTTGCTCACACACTAGGATTCTCAGTCTTCACTAGTCGTATCCTGGCAACGGGCTCATCATGCTCACTGTAACTTCAAATCACACAAGAAGTCTTCTTTGCGCCGCCTAATTCCTTTCTAGCCATTTATTCTCAATCACCTTCGGCTGCCATCTCCAGAACTCGACCCAATCCTGATCCTCGTTATTTAGACTCGGGGTGGACCCCACGGAAAACACGCTCTTACGTTGTTAAAGAGCGTGCTTACAGCTCCGTTGCTTAGCAATGGGCATACACGTCATAACATCAAGTCGTCAGACACGTTTCTGATTCTTAAAAATATAAGAGGGCTGAAGCACCTTCCGCTAATGCACAATATTTTATTCTGAGAAAATCTGACACAATGACGTAAGCAAAACTCCTGCATAATGAATTACAGGAAAACGCTCCTAAGATCCTGAACTCCTTGGTGTATTCTACAGATATCCCATGCATACAGAATCACCGACGACGGAAATGACGCAGCATGTAGTAAATTGTTTATACTTTTGATAACTGCGTATCATGAATTCTCTTCAGGCTTGGTAAAAGCAAAGCAACAGGCGTTTCAGTTGGATAAACAGCGAGATTATTGTTGTTGTTGTTGTTGTTGTTGTTGTTNTGAATTTCGATGCTTAAATTTTTATATTTTAATTTATTCTCTGCTTCTTTTTGTACTACATTCCTGTCCGATGGTACTGATAAATCTATAAGTAAGCACGTTTTCTTTTGCTTGTTTTTAATTATTATGTCTGGCCTGTTTGCCAGAACCTCTCTGTCTGTTTGTACGCCTTGGTTCCATAACACCGTTATATCCTTATTATTATTATTATTATTATTATTATTATTATGCATCAAGCATCAGGCCCTGGGGCCTGTTGCGGATCCTCAAGTTTGTTCTTGCCATTTTTTTTTCTGGTTCGTCCACGGCTTCTTACTCTCTGAAATCAGCAGTGCGCCACTGCTATGGGAATTCTATTTTCGGTCATGCGTTTACGTGGTTTTTCCAGTTTATTCATAATATCGTCATTTCTAATCTTATCTCGTTTTGTTATTCCAATCATTGATCTCAAGAATCACATCTCGGCAGCCTGCAATCTACTTTTGCCCCTGGATGTCATGCCCCACGTTTCACAGCCATACATGCCATTCCGTATTCCTGCAGTTCTATAGAACTTCACTTGCGTGTCCACTCATCTTTTATTTTTTCAGGCTTCTTTTTATACGTAATGCCACATATATGGCTAAATCCTTTAATTTTGTGATTTATATCTTCTTCTCCCACATGAGATGTAACAACCCAGAAAATTACACAACTTACCTGTTCTTTCACTTGATTTTCCAAGATGAGTTTTCATCAAATTGGTTGCTTCCCCTTGAATGCCATTGCTTCGGTTTCCTCAGGCTTACTGGGGGTTCGCAAACCTTCTCGCCACGTTAAGGGGGCGTTTATTCTAATGTAAATTTATTTTCAGCATGAATTGAAGTGGAAACATTTATTGATGCCTGTGATATTACGCTACCTCATTTCACTATACTGACATATAAATAACACATAATTTAACAGTCGAAATATTTTCATTTGCCGCCTCTGTGGTCTAGTGGTTAAGGTTCCTGGCTACAGATCCAGAGGTCCCGGATTCGATTCCCGGCGCGACCAAATATTCTGAGAAGTAGTGAGTCTGGAACGGGGTCCACTCAGCCTCGTGACGATAATTGAGGAGCTATTTCAAGGAAATAGTGGCTCCGGTCTAGAAAAACGAAACTAACGGCCGTAGGGACACCCTCCACTCGCTAAAGTTGGCATTAACTTCGCCGACAAGCGGCGGTCGCTTGAGGACTAAAGCCACGTTTTTTTGTCTTGTTTATCAAATAATGATGCGGCCGTTGATGTTCTCAGCTGATTTTTGTACCGTAGTGTGCACTGTTTTTGTTTTATACTGAAAAATTTATTCTTAGAGTGAATGAAGCCTTACCTTCCGATGATGTCTCCCAGAATATACTCGTCTTCCAACTCGCGTACTCTTTGGCTCTCGGGGATCCAGTACAACGTACTGTTGTCAGTTGTGAGGTCTAGCTCCAGTGAAGTGCTACTGGCTTCCACCATCCTGCTTAATTCGGTTCCAACTGAAACATCAATCACCATTGCGTGTCTTCACTCTCTCTACCCAACAATGAAAAAACATTGTAGAGGACGCAGGCTTGTAATTTTGTTAACTGTTTCGGTAGGAACAATCCCATTTGTACTTCACCGGATTTAAGAATGTAATTTTCAAAGAATATTTAATTACGAAGACGTTTTTTTGTAGTTTTGTGACATATCCTCTAGGTAAGACGTTCGACTGTTCTGGCTTCTGCCCACCTGTCAAGGGCCTCATTTCCCCTTCGTCCCCAAAGAATTAATAACCTGAAATGGTGTCTTACAGTGGACCCACAACTTAACATGCAATGTAAACTATAGCAAGAGTTGGTACGCATCACATTTAATGACCTTGTTAGACCTGGGGAATTTTGCTGAAGGATTCTGTGGCTAAGACGCACTCTCAAATATAATGCTAAACCTCCTCTCTGCGCTCACACACTGCGTCTTAAAGGAACTCAGGCTGTGCGTTATTTTAATTCTCTCTTTCTTTAGACGTTTGTTGTCGCTGAGATAGTTAATACATTTCCCGTCATTTATGGAAATGAAGATAATTATTTACAAGATAAACTTCTTTCCCAACCACTCACACATACTGTTATCATCTGAACAAGTGAGGCAATGTACGGATAGCGTATGAGCTTTGTTTAGTACCCTCGAAAACAATAATCTTTAGATAACATTAAGCTGGGCATAAAATGTATACTCCTTTTCCATCTGTAACTCCTCTTCGTAACGTTTTTCTTTCATATAAATATTGAGAGACTTACGCGCGAGTTAAGCTCAAAATTCTTCCATCAACATAGTACGTATGTCTTCACGTAACGTGTTCTTTACTATTGTACAATTCTAACCCAAATTATAACTTGCCCACACACGGCAACAAAACTAGCAAATTCTATGGGAAAACACAGAGATATTGAGTTTTCGGACTTTATCCATCGTCCTGGTTTTAAGATAACTAAGAAAAACATGACGTTTCGGAAACTGGATGTTTCCGTCCTCAGGTGAGGGAAAACACCTATTCTGTTGGGTCCCTTAGAGAAAGCTAGCCTCAATCAATTTTGTTCAATGATTGAGGCTAGCTCTTTCTAAGGGACCCAACAGAATAGGTGTTTTCCCTCACCTGAGGACGGAAACATCCAGTTTCCGAAACGTCATGTTTTTCTTAGTTATCTTAAAACCAGGACGATGGATAAAGTCCGAAAACCCAATATCTCTGTGTGTTATACACCATCGTCAGAATCCTATAGTAACTACTTCTATGGGAAAACGTTAAGTACATATGACAAAAGAAGAGACAGACAGATATGGCGAAGTTAACAGGTGAATTTCTGCAACGTTTCGTTTCGAACGCTCCCAGTACTGCATAAGTGTTATTTCGTAACGCCTTCAAGTATTTTGTCACGACTATGCCTCACGCACCTGTCGGAGAAGTTCGCCGCACCACACAATGTTAGAAATCAAAACTCCTAGATTTTTATTTGCAGTTGTGGTAGCATCTGGTCTTCAAACAGAGACTAAGAGACTAAGACAATTAGCTCGCCGTTTGTTTTCCTAGAACGCGGTACACCTTGTTCAGTGTTGAAACTACGCCAGGTTCCAAGATGAATTAATTATCTTTACCCCGAAGCAATGCGGCATGGAAGAGGAGTTAATTAACTTCTGTTTGTATACGAACATTATTAGCTGTTTCAGTAATCTGTAACCAAAATATCAGGCGATAAAATTACAGGAAAAATAATAACTAACTCCATGAAGCTGAGTCCTTCGTGGAAAGCTAACAGACGCTCAACTTGTCAACAAATTCTCCGCCTTCAATAGACTAACTAACATGGTCAAATTTTCATCTTTCCGAGAGGTATCCGCTCCTGTCGTCAAGGATTAAACGTCGGGTTGTTTAACGACGCCTTCAATATCGAGACCATATATCGTCGGATGGAGCCGGCATGACGCAGTCGGTACAGCGACTGGCTACGGGTTGGACGGCCGAGAGGTAGGAGTTCGAGTCCCGGTAGGCTCATGAATATTCTCTTCTTTGCAGCGTCCAGAACGGCTCTGGGGTCCACCGAACCTCCTATCCAATGAGTAGCGGGAGCCCTTTCCCGGGAGTAAAGCGATCAGGGCGTGAATTTGACCACTCACCTCCATGAAGTGCCAAGGTCAAGAAAATGTGGATCTATACATCCACTTCCCATACGCCTTCATGGCATAGTGCTTATTACTTAAACAAATAGATAATTTTACCTTCATAGCTCCGGATATATCTGGAAATGATCTGAAAGGAAACTGCAGTGTCTAATGAAGTCACTATCCCAGCATTTGCCTCGAGGGACTAATCACGAAAAACTGTCAGACTGGCCGGTGTCTCGACCGAGATTCGAAATGAGCACCTCCTTAATACAAATCTAGACCGCTGCCGCTAGACCACTTTATCCGGTGATTATTGGGTTTCTGAATGTGCTACTTCTAAGTTAACTCATAAACAAGTTGTTTTCGTTGTTGGCTGATGACTTACAGATATGGGACCACCTACCGCCGGATTAATAACTTCAGAGTTCGTAACTTCTGCGTAAGACCTGGTATGTGGATAAAGACATGGGTATGTACGATTACGAACTGCGTTGCAGCGTTGACCGTCAGTACACGTTATGCAACAATCTTGTACCACTGTCTCAGTATTTCAAAGATCTAGGTCTCCTGAACTGTAAGCTCCCTTTTCATAAAAATACTGACTAGACTCTACATGTTTTGTCCATGCTTCAAAAATGTCGCATTTCATTCGATATAAAATGGACCCCTCTTCTATTACTGTACTGATGCCCTTCTGCCTTCAAGGAGCTCCCTTGAGTGACCCAAACCTGAGTATACAATCCATAGGCAACAAGTTCCCTGACAATGAGCAGCATTCTTATACTGAGGAATGCGTAGCAACTAACAATACTTTAAGCACTGTCAGTAGCTACAACGTGTTCGTGTACTATAAATACTTGCTTCTTCCATGCTCCAGTGACTGTGGTTTTGTTACGTGATTGTAACTCTGTAGTGTACTCATGATCTGTTCTCAGATGCAGTACTAGCAATGGTAATAACGCACGTTATCGTAGAAGTTTAAGCAGTCTTTCGAACGTTGGTCACTTAAACCATCATCAGAATTTTTATAGCGCATGTACGTAGGTCAATAATATCCTCTTAAATGTGGGATGATGATCGATATGGAATTGCATGTCGAGGTCGGAGGTATTTATTTCGAAAAATCTGATCTGCTTAGGCCCTAAGCAATTACAATTCTTGAGGAGCGTATTAGACTTCACAATACTAAAATCAGGGAAGAGCAGAATACGTTCATCTAAATGATAAAATTATACGGTTCAGAGCGCAATGGAAATATAATGTACAACGAATGGAAGACAGAGGGAGTCAGAAGAAAATTCTTACAACCCCCCCCCCCAAAAAAACCCCAAGACGCCCAAAGTTAAAAAGGAGAGATCAGAATAATCTTTAACAAGAAGAAACAGACCATAAAAAACCCCAAGACGCCCAAAGTTAAAATGGAGAGATCAGCATACTCTTCAACAGGACGAAACAGACCAAGCATGGTCTAATCCATGAAGGTGGTAGTGATGACACAATTGCAAGGAGCCCCATACTTTTGGGCTTAGAATTGTGCAATATAAATAAAGGCAGTATACAATATTTAATATTCAGTATAATTAGATACTTGAGCAACTGCAAACGGTCCTAAAATGTGGGGCTTTTTGTATTTGCTCAAGCATCTAATTAAATCGAGTATTAATACTGTGTACTGTTTTTATTTCTACTACGCAACTCTCATCGTTACTGATACACTTTTCTTCCTAACCATCTGAAGTGTCTCCCTCTGCCTCATTTTGCAATGATTTGAGGTTCAGTTTTGTTAGTACCTCCATAATCAATTTTATGCTACCAACAGATTTCGAGAGTTATAGACATTGAATATGTTTCCACGTTATCACATTCATTTATCGAACTGGAAAAGTAAATGCTTTGTAGCTGCTGAATTTGTGAATGGGTATTACTTATGCACGTGTGAAAGTAATCCACAAATCGTAATTCCTGGCCTGCTTTCGATAATAAAGCTGATAAGTTATACGTTGTGGCCGGTCACGGTAACCGAGCGGTCTAAGACATACACTGTCTTCGCTTGCTCGGAAGCCGGGATAGTGGGTTCGAATCCCACTCAGGGTATGGATGTTTAATTTGTGTATGTGTGCGTTTTTCTGTGTTTGTGTACAGGTAGACGCCTTGCGACGAGCTGATCACCCGCCCAAGGAGTCCTACAATATGTCTAAGATCTAGTAAAACCGAAGTGAAGGGACAGTTTCATGGAGGTAGGCCTAGGTCCACTGGGGCTGTAGTGCCAATGAAAAAAAAAAGTTATACGTTGTACAGTCATTAAGTACATGGACAGTGGTTTCATCGCATCATATTATAAGGTATTCACATACACTTACACAGATCCACATCGGCCCTCAAAATAGTCGCTTCTGGCTGCTATGCAAGAAAATCCTCTCATTATACCTCCCTCCTGACATAAAATCGAACTTGGGACGTCCAGAATACGAAGCAGGTGGCCAATTTCCAAGTGCATTAAAGATATTAATTTTGCAAAACGAAACTGGCTTTTAAAATGAGAAAATACTGTTTCAAATTTATATATGTTGCTCTGATATGCGAAGACTCTTAATAAGACGTGAAACATGCTGTAACACTTAGCGCTTGCCAAGTGGGAATGTCTTAATCACTTCTACCTCTTCTCTTCGAATAAGTCAGTATTTTAATTGAGTGTAACTTGTAAACGAGATATCGCGACAAACTTGAGGCATCGTTTTTTTATTGCTAGTGGGGTGGGACTAAGTCCCTTGTACTGCGGCCACTTCTGGCCTATTGTACCAACCCCAGATGATAGGTGAGGGTGATTGTGGAGCAATTGGTGGAATGAAGATTG